GCTTTCTTTGTTTGTTAGCTGGGTATACTTTAAGCTTGTTGATTTTTTTCTTTGAAAATTTAAATTTCGTCAAGAAAAGAATTTGGTTAGAATGATTTTGTGATTAATACCCAATATACCTGTCTATCATGCTTGCATTTTTGCTTTGACATTTTATCTCTAAACAGATTATTTATTAATTAAATAAATTAAGTTAAGTAACTACAATTTGGTGTTTGTAGGCAATAATCGTAAAATACACAACACAAATACATAACCACTTAGGTAAAAGTTTTAGGTACATATTTACTTAATATCCGACACGTGAAGACCATTAACAGTACATTTCATTCCTCTCAGAGCACAATATTTCATCTAGTTACTATTTAAATTAAATTTAAGCTCGGAGCTCAAGAGGTCAGCGACAGTATTATTTCTGTAATTTATTTTTATTCAAATATTAAATTCATTCTATGTTATTGTATCTGAGCATATTATTTTTATAGAAACTACTTTAAACTGCAGAAAAAAAAATCAAAATTAAGTTTTATGATTCGCAAAATAATTCCAAAAATTGAATAATCGACCCTGCCAGGATTCGAACCTGGAATCTTCTGATCCGTAGTCAGACGCGTTATCCATTGCGCCACAGGGCCTTGTTGCCAATGTTAGTTTAATCGAATAATGGTTAAAAATCGCAAGATGTAAAATACAAAACATTACTAGGGCGTCTTGGCATAAAAATCTTTTTCTTTGTGTACAAAAAAGTGAGCGACCCTGCCAGGATTCGAACCTGGAATCTTCTGATCCGTAGTCAGACGCGTTATCCATTGCGCCACAGGGCCGTGCTACAGTGTGATAAATTTTTCTATAACTAGATACAAATGTTAAAAAAACAGTTGTGACTTTTCTTAGAAGAAATTCTTAGAAAAAATAAATTCATATTCTTTACATTATATAATACATTATATGATATGAATAAGTTAGTTACCTAATATATAACCAAAATATTTAAAATTGTTAATTTGTAAGACGATGTTCAATATGGAAATTCAAAATACCAACCTAACCTTACTTTATAAGGTCACATTGAAGAATACGCTTAGTAATAAGACAAAGATTTGTTTTCGCTCACTTAAGTTTCAATTCAATCAGTTTTGACGTCAATGTCAGGTTCAGGCCAGCAGGTTGCGACCTCAAAGGCTTTCACGCTGATTTGATGGCACCCTTGAACAAAAATGTACCAAGTGATATGCGAATTGGAGACATCGATCACGTTTCACGAAAAATATTTAAAAATTTAATCAAAATTCATTCCAAACAAAACACTATCCCTAAATGTATTGCGGTGCTTTATTTGCTGATAAAATTAAAAATAAATTACGACCGTGGTATTCTTCCCTCATAACAACAACTTATTTTTTCCAACAACTATAGGTTGTATAATATTATTTGATGTAAAACAGATAAGCAAGGTAATGGTAACATTCTGAGACTTGATAAATAACATAATGTAACATTTAAAAGCGTCGATAGCCTAATGGTTAAGGGTACGGATCTCCGATCACGAGGTCGGGGATTCGAATCCTGCCATTCGACTATTGTCGTAAACCATATCCTAGCACAAGCATACAGCTTAGTTGGAATGGTAAAAGAAATATTAGTAAATTTATAAAAAATCTGCTAATATTTTAAAAAAATTACTTCAAAGTTAATAGGAATATAAATAAAAACACGAATAGTTATTATGTTAACCTAAGATTAACTGTATTGTTAGTAGATTCTATCTCTACACAAATGTGTTCTGCGCTCGATTACATTTCAATTCAATCACATGTCAATGCCGTCCGCGAGCGATTTCAGGTTCAATGTCGACCTTTCACTATAAAGAAACGGACTAGGCTACCGTTGTATTAAATAAACTCAGCACGTTCCGTGGGAGGTGAGGTAAAGATGACACATGTATGTCTCGCTGCTAACTACGCTTTTATGACTCAAAAAACACACACAACACGAGCACACAAGCGAGTTTCAAACTTATTGTTTGTTTTTATTTGATACAGGCGAATGCGATCATGACAAGTCCTGTCTTTAAAAGTCAACATCGAGAACATTCCGCGCGACCTCCACTGATGTGTTTGCACCCTCCATCGCGCTTCACTCATCGTCCTTAATGAATCTCTGGATACATTCTTATGTATACGTTCTTTTAATTTTATTGAAAACCACACGTTAATATGTTCTGTTTGTTTAAATGTTTCTTGAACATTCTTTGGATATTAAAAATGTAAGAAGTTTGCTTATTACAAGTAGTGAATACTTACATTATTTATACGCTATCATACAAACGATTGGAATGGATGATACTATGCTACAGCTATATAGTATGTTAGGGATGTTAATTATGTCTTAGTTGTCTAATTTCAAAATATTAATAGTACTTATTTGGCAAAATAGAAATGAATGTTTTACGCAATTACCTCGCTTTATCTCTTTTCTACTTCCGTCACTTAAAACTACAGAACAACAGTTTAATTTTATTGCTATTTCATATTAAGTTTACTCACAAATAATGTAAATATTTTATAGAAGTTATACGACATATACAAAGACGGTAAACAATGTTAAACTTGAAAGCATCAGATCCCTGTGGAGTTTCAAGGATAGATGGGAAAGCCATGTTAACACATTTCCGAAGGAATTTATGTGAAAGGAAATTGAAATTCAACTTGACTATGAATTTAAATATTTTCTATATTGATATAAATTTAAATTAATGTGATAATCATTTTACTAACATTAAAAACGCAAATATTTAGATGGATGGATGGATGTTTGTTTGACGGTATCTCCAGAACGGCGGCATGGATCTTGATGAAATTTGGCATAGGTGTAGAACATAGTCTGGTAGAACACATAGTCTACTATTTTTTTAATTTCGCGCGGATTGAGTCACAGGCAAAAGTTAGTTTGTTATAATTTTATAAAATTATAACAAACTAACTTAAATATATTTAATTTGTATTTGTATTAAGTTAATCGCTTATCTCTTTGTTTTTGTTTATTGCACGTAACATAACTTTTTTTTTCTATCAAAAGGTGGAAATAGCGAAGTGACCGATGCCATAGACATACGCAATTGCATATGCGTTGCCTACCTTGAATCGACGGAGGAGAGGATGCACAGAAAGAAAATATCTTCCCTTTCCATGCATCCTCTCATCCGGAAAGTCCACTTCCAATTCCCATCCTTTCCTTATAAAGAAAAGGATGGGAGAGGAAAGAGGACTAAATTAGGCCTCCGGGACTCACACTCATCAGACGAAACGCGGAATTGCTTCCACTTCACGCCTGTCTTCTTCTTTCACCGGGCGAGCCGGGCCGATTCGTGCGAATTAGTTAAAGCGGGCTCTACCACTGTTAAAACTGAACACTGTTAGAACTGAAACGTTTTTACGTCTAGCCTTGATCTAAGAGTAATAAAAGAGGAAATAAAACATCGGATTAAATACAAATTATTTTATTCACAATAAACATCAAAATGCATTCTTCATTTTGTAATAGAAATGTTAATTGACAGATATGACATCGATATTTGAATATTTTTATGTATAGGCAAAGTACATTATGTATTACGTTAGAACAACTTTTAAATATGTATTTCAACATAATCCCAAAATATGTTAACATTTTGTCATTAAGTAATACATATTCTAGTAACAAGAGTCTTAAATATATGATAATAAATAAAATATTAAAAACAAATAATTAACTAAAATATATTGTTAAAAGGAGTCTCTTTAGGCAAGATTCCGAAGATACTGGCAGCGTTCCCCCTTTGTATAGCTATAGTAACTCTTTGTCCGAGGAAGTTGCCAGCTCTTCGGTTCCCTGTGATGTCGATTTACTTTTCGTTAGTACATTAAAGCCAGATATTTATACAAGCTGTCGCCACCGACTCCGTCCGCGTGGATAAATAAAAAAACGTAATTAGTGTAGCCTATGTGTTCTTTCAGATCCGTTCAGCCGTTCTAGAGATATCTTCAAATACCCATCCATCCATCCACATCACATCCATCTAAACATTCGCATATATAATATTAGTAAGTTAAATAAAAAGCAGCTCTTCGACGCATAAATTCGAAAAAAAAATGAATAAATAGTATCCTATGTCCGTCTCCTGGCTCTAAGCTACCTCCTCACCAATTTTCAGCCATATCGGTGAAGCCGCACTTAACATAAAATCTAAATGATTATTTGGCACGTAAAAGTATACACATTTCAGCAACAGTTAAGTCCGCTGTATTTTATCTTAAATAAAAATAAATAAAATACTTAATTATTAGTAACTTAGTAAATTAAACGTAAACATAACCTTATTATATAAAATATCTCAGTATTTAAAAGGTGAATGATGATTAAAATTGCTTTTAACATTTACGGAGTTTTAAGACCATAAATAAAAAAAATATCTGCAAAGAAAAGGTAAATAACGTACAATAAATACTTTTATTTCTATACTTTTGCTTTCGAATAAACTGCAGCAAGTAATTAATTGGAAAACAAAAGAATCTATCTGTTCAGAGTGCGCGCAATAACATTGTAACAAAGAGAATTGTGTTTTTGAACTCAAGTCTTTTCAATAATTACACTTGATTAAAATCTTTAGTTAAACTTAATACTGTTTTCTAACTAATCATTCCTGCATACACACTTATATGTAACATATAAATAACCTTTTGAAGTTTATAAGGCCTTGGTTTTGGAATAACTCGCCCCAGAGGGAGCGCGCCTTTATCAAAATTTAAAACTGAAGACCATGCTATATTTATGTGATAAAAATAACATGATAAAGGCTAAGACAACTTATATGGCTGATAAATCTATCTGGAAAGCGACTATTGATCTCGGATACAGTGAAAGCAAGACATGGAGAGATGATTAAGTCTAGCCATATCCATCGTTAACGCGTAGCCGCCGCGCGGACTTCGCGGTGTCCAGTTGTATATCAAATAACTTTTTTATCCAGCTATAGTTGGTTGTTCAACGACAATATACGGCGTGTGTAATGCAATCGGCTGTGGTAGTGCGGGGAAGAGTATGGGGTAGTGCGGCGGCGGCGCGGGCGGGCCGGCCTGGTGCGGCGCGGGCTCCGAGCAGCGCAGCAGCCAGTGTGTCAACATGCGCCCGCGTCCCTTCAGCTCCACCTCGCCGCGCCGCTCCACGGTGAACGTGCCCCACTGCTCTAGCAACGCGCGCGTACTCTCGCTCAAGTGAATCCTCAAAGCTGTTAAGTAAAGAAAGATTAGAGAATCAAATATCGGACAGACCTATAAAGTACCCGGTTGACTTCCTTCCTTTTATTAATCCATATTTATTCAGATTTAAGTTGATATGGCAAGGTTTCCTATTCAGTAAAAAGGTAAAGTTATTCTCACGTTGTCCAGTAGACTCCATGCGGCTGGCCGTGTTAACGGTGTCCCCGAACAGGCAGTAGTGTGGCATCTTGACGCCCACCACGCCCGCGCACACTGGTCCAGAGTGTACTCCGACTCGCACCTTCATTACATACATATAGTAAAATTTACTACATAAAAGATTGAAAAATTAACAAACCTAATGAAAAAATATCAAATATGTTATGTTCATTACTTCTAAGCGATGTGAGGGGCGATGCCTGACAGCAAAGGTGCGCACAGCCTCGACGACCGCGAGCGCCATGAGGCAGATCTCGCGCGCGTGCATGTCGCCGTTGCGCTTCGGCAGACCTGACACCACCATGTACGCGTCGCCTATTGTCTCCACCTTACACACAACATAACACTCTTATTCATACTTTTCAGCTGTCGTAATACATGAAACGTTGTCGTTATACAGAGATACTAGCGGACCCGACAGACGTTGTCCTGTCTACACGTCTTAAATTTGAAAATTTCAAACTTTTTTTAATAAGCTAAAATTAAAATTCGAATATTATTTAAAATTTGACACTGCGATGGTAGCGCCGTCTGTCGGATCCAATGTAAAACATTCCAAAATCAACAACTACTAATAAATTAATATTTTATTAAAAAAACATTGTCCAGCGGACAAAATTGTGAATTTAAACCATTCCCAGATCCCCTTGAACACACACAAAAAATTTCATCAAAATCGGTCCAGTCGTTTGAGAGAAGTTCAGTGACATACACACGCACAGAAGAATTATATATATAAAGATAACAGTGAAGACTGGCTGTCAATTTACTTATTAGACCTTTGAAATATTAACAAATTACATTTCAATTTACATTGATGATATTTATCGTGACATGTCGGTATTTCTGAAATATCCAATAATTTATTAAAAACTCTATATATTCAACGTAATAAAACACGATGTTAACAGCATAATTTAGTAATACAAAACTTTTAATGCCGGTTTTTCTTCTAGCCAATTACCTTATACACGTCATAGTATCCGATAATCCTATCAAAAGTGCTGTAGAGGTCATTGAGGAGGTCGACGACCTGCATGGGTGTGGAGGCAGCGCACAGCTCGGTGAAGCCAACAATATCACTGAAGTACACAGTCACACACTCGAAGCTCTCCGG